GCTGCCCTGGTTTCTCTCCACCAGTGCTACCTCATTTATTTCCATCCCTAACTCTGATGTGACATCAGAGGAAGACCTCTGTGGGTACCTCCTACTTCTACCTTCAAGAAATCATGAGAGTTCTTTCCAGGTGATGGTCCAGGCTGCTGTGAGACCTCATTCTTTGTGTTGTGTTGGGTCTGTGATCTATGTCAGCAAGTAGAGGCTGGTGTGGCTAAGGGCTCAGACCCACACGGGACTGATTTCTGTGCACAGGGAGGGAGAGAAAGCAGGCGCTCACTCGCCACATTCCTGGGATCAGCCACAGCTGGCCAAGAAGGGAGCCTGTGGGTGCACCACTCCCGCTCCTGAAAGCCAAGAGCACAGTGCTATAAAAGGTGTCTGGATGCCTTCAGGGGATGCTGAGAATTTTACCTGGCTGAGCAGGTGTATTCGAGGTGGAAATGGATTTCAAAGGATATGATTATGGTAGGGCCACTATGGTGGCATTCATTTTTCATAAAGGGAGGGGAGGTTTAGAGTAGATTCAGGACTAAGGAAGATTATGTATTATTCTTGTAGCTCTACTGGGGATAGCACCTGGGCTTTGTGCATGCCAGGGAGTGCTTTGGCGCTGCACCTGTAATGCCTACGGTGATGACCTTATCAGGCATTTTCTATCAGACCAAAGGAGAGTAAGGGTAGGATTGGGGATTGAGGCTGCAGGGACTCCTCAAGCCTCCCTAAGGAAGTCAAAGGAAAGCGAAAGCACAGAACTGCTTCTGCTCTCTGAGCAGCCCACTTCTTAGAACCTCAGTTCCTTTCCAGTTGAACTGCAGAAAAAAATCTCGTAGTATTCTCTGACTGCAGCTGATATCCGAGGCAAGATTGAACTGCTGTCCGAACCCCCTTTCCCAAGGAAAATCAGGCATTTGATGAATAGTCCTTCATGGTGCTCTGGCTTTCCCAGTATGAGATCTCTCTAGTACCTCCAGGGCTCCCCATGTTCACTGCTGGTTGGATGACTCTGGGATCCTTCAGTGAGTTACTGCACAAAATGCCCTTCTGAACTCACCTAGTTCATAGCGAGGGGAGGTGTACGTTGAAGTACAAAGATCCACATTCTTTCACCACAGCATTCATTGCAAATCTGTGCTGATAAAAGGTACTGTATGCTCATTGAGTCTAAGGGCTGACGTCATTAAAACATATGCACTTTAGGTCCAGACTTTGCAGAGATGAGCATAGACAGGAAACAGGGAAGAGAAAGAGAAAGCAAAAGTTCTTTAAGATAAAATGTGCATATGCTCCAGTTCCTCAAAGAGCAGAAGGCATAGACAATTCCAATAATGTGTTTCAACCATAGGAGTGGTACAGGTCGTAGAGGGCCCCATGGATAATGTATTTAGTTCATATTTATAGTATATGAAAAACAAATCAAAGAGGCTTGCTAGAAAATATCTAACGCATCTGTTTCAAAAGGGCTCTTCTGATTGTACTTAGCCTGTTTTGTAAATATAATCATCTATTCCCATGATATCGGGGATGGAACCCAGCCTTGCACATACTGCACACTAGCTCTGCCGCAGAACCACAGCTCAACCCTATGGTAGCTTTTCCCTCTGACTTTAAGCTGAGATGGAGAGTGAAGTTCTGTGAACGTGTGTCCATGCACCGGATGGGGCTATTGCAACCCATTGGAAATCATACTGCTTGGATGTTCTTTTGGGAAAGTACCATGCAGTGTCATTCGGCTGGGGGCAAAGGAAACACATCCATCCATTCTGCAGAAGAGCCAAGGGAATTTTTTTTTTAATGTGGAACCGAGGATTGCGCTCAGGCCGTTGGGCTTGTCAGGCAAGCACTTATTCTACGGAGCTATCTCCCTGACCCCTCAAGGGAATCTTTTGATGTTACAAGAATGTGAAACTTCCTTTCAGATGTCTCAGAAGCAGACTTCATGTATCTTTTCTTTTGTTAAAAAATGGGTTTAGTACAGGGTCTACAGGGTCTCCCTACACAGATCAGATGCGTAGTGATCCTCCTGTGTTCAGCCTCCCAAGGGCTGGGATTACAGGTGCGCGCCACCACGCCCAGTCTCATTTCCTGTCTCAGTGCACCCTGGGGGTGAGGCCGGTGTGATTGAATCCCGGTGGCTGCACCTGCCTAAACAGGTGCTTTAATCCACTGAGCTGTTTGGCTGGCCCTGAGACTTCACGCATCTGTTTGGGCGCAATTACTGGGGACCCAACCCAGAGCCTTCTGCAGGCTAGCCAGGTGGGTGTCCTACCACTGGACCACACCCCAACCCTTCCTGTGTCTTCAGTGCGATTGAGAACTTGTCTTTCTGTCTTTTTCTGGCAGCCTCTGTTCCCCAAGAAGAACTATGAGTGCTTGACCAGCTGTGAGTTCCTCAAGTACATCCTTTTGGTGAAGCAAGGGGATTGCCCGGCTCCCGAGAAAGCGAGTGGCTTCGCGGCTGCCTGTGTGGAAAGCTGTGAGGTTGACAACGAGTGTTCCGGGGTGAAGAAGTGCTGCTCCAATGGGTGTGGACACACCTGCCAGGTGCCCAAGACCCTGTACAAAGGTGAGCAGCACAGAGGGTATGAAGGACCTCGCTGGGCCAGGGGTGTAGCCCAGTGTCACGGCTCCTGCCTGACAAGCACAAGTATGTGGCCCTGAGTTTGATTCCTGGCTCAAAAATGAAGAAAGACCTTTCCCTTCAAAAGAGCTGGTGGTGCTTAGGGAAGGTATGTCAACTGCACACGGAGAAATGCTAAGAGTACGCCACACTTTAAGGAAGTTTATTTTGTGCTGTGTAGAAATAAGTTAAAACATTCCTGGGTTTTAGAATAAGTTCAAGGTGGAGTAAATCAGATATGAATGTTTAACATATGTGTAATTTTTTATTTATTTTTTGCCTAGAAGAATACATCAATTAAACTCTGCTAGGTACCTCAGGATAACATTTTAAATCCCTGGAAATAGGCTGGAGTTGAGGCCCACAGTTGAAAAACACACAATAGATGTACTCATAGCATGGCTTTGCCCTAAGCAGTACCTGAGAGTGGGAGTGTCGCTGTATAGATGTTAAATATTTTGATTCAAATGCTGAGATTCTAAGCAGAAGGCTTTCTTTCCCTCTTCCAAGATGAGAACTAAGTTGAGAAGGATTTTTTTTTTTTAAAGCTGGCTCAGGCTGCCTTCAGGATGCGCCTGGTAAGGCCTGTGAAGCTGGGGATCAAACCACGATCCCCGGTGCCTGACTGGGTTTGCCCAAGCAGGCGTTTAAACAACTGAGCTTATGCACAAGCCCCCAAGAGTTGAGAAGGATTCTTTTTTTGGGAACTCAGTTGACTGTGTACTTCTCTAAATATAATAGTTTTCTTTTAATAGCAAGTTCTAGAGCACTTAATTGCTTAAGGCTAAGAGCTGTTTGCCTTTTCTTTAAACGTGACCCAGTTCCATTATGATTGGCTGATTCTGTTGCACCACGTATACTTTCGGGTACTACCATGATAACTCAGACACAGAATATTTTGTTTATTTTTTGGCCTAATCTGAAGAGGGAAGTAGAATTAATGCATAAGCATTGTTCATTACAAGTGAGAAAAGAGAAATAGATATATCTTCTTTCCTCTCTTGCTTGACAAACATAAGGCCAAATTGCATTATTTAGAATTGCTGGTAATTTTTAACATAAAATACGTATAGAGCAGCATTCAACTAACCGTACGAATCTTGGGTCATGTCTAGCTGTTTTTAGAAGTCTTTCACCCTCATAAAAATGCACTTGT